CCCCCCTGCCTCTGCTTGGAATACTGGTGGAAGTGGGAGAGATGGTGAACCCTTTGCCCAGGGGGTGACACACACACACACGAAGCTGAACCAATGTGTGTGTGTGTGTGAGCCATGAAGCTGAACCAATGTCCAATCAACCACTAAAGCATATTTAAAGCATATTTAAAGCACATTATAGCTCTTGCACATTATAGCTCTTTGAAGGGATTTGCTTTATATAACATGTCTATCTTCCAAATTCAATCGCTCCGTCGATGTTTTGAGCCCTCCCTGCCTCCAGATAGCGCTGTTCGGTCCGTTCGGCCTCTGCCGATCCACGTCGTTCCGGTCGAGTTCGACGGGTCGCTTCGGGTGGAGGTGGGCAACCAACGGGCAGGTTTGGAACGATGTGGAGCTCCCAAGAGCTGTGGACATCCGTGTTCCCGACCCCCAAAAACATGTTCCACCTGACTAGGTGATCTATCTGACTAGGTGGTAGCTTGTTGCACTGGTTCCAAGCCCCACCCCACCCAGCCCTGTGGCGCCTCATGTAGCGCTCGTTGCGCCTCATCCAGGGCTGCAGCGTCTTCTCCTGGGGAGGTTGCTTGACACTTCACCCGTCGTTTTGAACATGTGCTCACCAACCATAAACCCATGCTAAGCGCTGCTAACCGATAGCTAGACTCATCTGGTTCTCAAAACATCACACGCACCCCCAACGGACGGCGTCCTAGACCCCGAATTTGGCTCAGGAGCAGTTGATGTAGCTGCGGAGTGCGAGACCACAAATTTCTCTGGACCCACACCGCCCAATTTTGAACATATTGGAACTACCACTTGCTCACCTTCTTTCAAGTTCCGTAGCTTAGCTATGCTTAGATCACTGTTTACACATTTCTCTAAGCGACTCTGGTGATCACTCCTCACCAAACCCACTTTGTGCTCTCAGAATGCCCCGCATGTCTTTCTGCTCCAACCCGCGCACCTCGGGCGCGTCGGAGCTCTGCCAGCTCCTGGCTTGGTAGGGCCTATGGGGTAGGGCTTGAGGTGATGGACCCCGGATGGTGATGCGCTCATGGTCCATCGACATCATTTCCGCTCGTGAAATCATAATTAGAAGTTCATGGAGCCCCCAAGGACCGGTTGCTGAGCCGGACGAGGACATCTTCCCAACACTGCGGCGAAAGCTTTAGCAAAGGGCAATCCAAAAGCATCTCCAAAAGCCGATTTTGAGCACGTGACACGTTCATTCTAGGCAGTGTATATATATAAATGGTTGCGCAGCTGCACATCCTTCCATTTCTGGAAATCTGTAATGAAACGACAAGACCATAGAGACCTTCCCGGAAATAGCAATTGCGCTGGTGAAGCTCCCTGGTTTCTTGCTCATGGATCTCCTAATTAGATTACACATGTCTTGAGATTCTTTAAACCAAAAATTCGGTCACTTGCAACAAGCCTCCTAGACGTATCCTTCCCCTTCTACGACTAATTCATGGCCGTAGTGACCTATACAACTCTTTCTTCCATGAACCAAAGTGCCCGGCTCCTGCTGCAACCTTTGCACCTCCGCTGTAGAAGAAGCATCTGGTGCGCGTGGCGGCACCTGCAAACCCAGTCTTTTGTGCATGCTCATTTTCCTGCAGCAAACATCTACGAGAAACGACGCACAGCGAATCTCATGGGTTTGCCACTCGTTGCCGCGATCATCGAGTCGGATCATCAAGTCCAACTCGTGGCTTTGGGAGGTGATTCTGCCAATCTGCCTTCACCACGCCATCGGGCTGATGAGCTTCGAAGGCTTATGGATGCTTCACCAAACTCATAGGAACACCTGACGAAATCGAAGTTAGATGATCCTACGTAGACCCCGAGTAACAGGCCCTTTTTCAACACCTCTCCCTCTCCAATTCCTTTTCTTTTGGCCCATCTCTTACGGTCGAATTGGAACGCTGGGCCTTCAGGTCCCGGAAGCATCCCGAAGACCAAGTGGGTGGTCGGAGCTCCAAGCACTTATGTGTATAATATACGTGGGTGGTCGGAGGTCCAAGCACCTATGTATAATATATATATATATACTGTGAAGAAAATTAATGAAACATATCAGCCATGGGTGTCAATGGGTGTGGGTCAAACGTCTGTATCCAGCCAGAGTCTGGCCCCTCCAAACCGTCGTCTCGCAACTCGTTCGCCCGAAGATCACCACACCTCGCAGTCTGAAGATCACCACACGATGTCACACGCCACGAGAAATTGGCATCATTGGACATAAAGCCTCTCTACTCAGCTTTTGTGAGGAGAAACGTTCACAAGATGCTGCAAACAACCCCCGGAAAACCCGCAACCATTGGTTTTGGAAGTTTTTGGTCTTATTGAACACATCCATGTTGAGGTGCAGTAGAATAAATATAATTACAGTAACTCTTCCGCTCTTCCCAACGCCTGCGCGGGTGTACCCTGCAGCTGCTGCTCCAGGGCATTCAAACGCTCTTCCTGGCATCAGGCCATTGAGGGAACCCGCGCTGTCAACTATTGCAGTTGTGCGATGAAAGGGCCAGAATGTGTGGGGATCTACCCTCCCTCAAACAATCAGAAGCTGAGTAACCCCCTACAAGTAGAGGACAAAGGTCTTCCAGGGGCCGAAGACCTTGCCACTTCCATCACATCCATCACTTGATTCCAAGGAGTGTCCAGATTGTCCAGCATCCATCGCTTGCCTTCCCATATCAACTGCTGCAGTTGTGTGGATTCATAGTATGCTTCTGTAGCTGCTGTAATTCTACTGTAGCTTCTGGTGGCAACGCTCTCCGCGCAAAGCTTACGGAAGAGGTGAGTTGAAGGACTGTTGCCCGTTGTAGGTCGCGTTGTCGGAAGAAAACCAGGGCATCCTTTTGGGTCCCCTTGAAGGTTGTACTTTACAACAAAAAGAGAAACACCTTCCAGCTGCAGTCCTGCTCAACTAAGCGGACACCTGAACGAACATATCAATATCTCCTGCCACCTCGCATGAGGGCGCGAACCAATATCATGTTCGATAATCTTCGTAGCCACGTCGAACAGGTCCCCACCCGCGCATCATCCCGCCAGCAGCCCCGCTCGCTTTTGGCAAGTTGAACAGCAATCGTTATCAGATGTTGCCTACATGGCTTTTGAAGCTCAAAAAAAACATATATATATATATTTATATCATTATATATTATAATCACACACATATTTTATCTGTATATATATATATCATAGACACGCACATATCTTCTGCACAAGAGGATCCCGGTCATCTGATGCCTTCGTGTTCAAGGCTTGACGAAGCTCGTCCACCAAGCCTGGCGCCACGAGCGCCGCGTCGCGCCACTCGCAACTCGGTCGAGCGCAGCGCCCTCGGCGGGAAGGCCCACGAGATCGATGTATGGAATCCGCCGACCTTCTGCAGAGGTGAGGCGTGACTTGTGGTGGGTTGTGGTCTAAAGATCTCGATTCAAGACCTTGTCTGGTGCTTAGAATGATCATATCTGTGATGAATGGTGATGACCTCGACGGTCAACCACCTCGATATGAAATACGAGAGTGGGAGTGTTTGGGGTGTATCTAAGGGGTGAGCGGTGGATGAACAAAAGAGTTGTTCTCCGATTTCTCCAGGCCTGGGACGTCTCCAGGCCTTGGATTTGGTTGGGCTGCTGAAAGAGTCTGACATGACCTGCTTGATCTGTGGTCGACCTCTTGAAGCACCAGTGCCAAGGGTTAGGAGGGGCGTGGAACTCGTCGGCTCCAGTGCCAAGCCAGTTGCTCAGTGAAGACTGCAGCAGCTTCTGGTCAATTGGGGATGCACCGCACTCACGTACATTGTTTGCATGCTCATGTCCATCATTGTCTGACCCTCTCAAATGTCGGGTCATAGCCCGAAGTGCCACATGATGAGTATAGAATAGTATAGACATGTATAGACTATAGAAATCACATGTCAAGTCATCATCCAAGTAGCCATGGGCAAAGAACTTCTCAAGGGTCTATCATGTAAGGGTCTATCATGTAAAACACTATAACTGGAGATCTCTTGAAATCACTCAAGGTCACAGGCTCACAGTCCCTGTTAAGTCGAGGCCTTGTATCATCCCCTTGAAAATCAACATTTAACATCCAACGGCCTCCAACCTTGCCCAAACCTCATCTATTTCCCGGAGTTCCGCAGGCACCTGCACGTGGCACCTCCTCACACAGAAAGGACGGAAGAGAAGTCAAGAAAAGACCTGGACTAGTAGCTTCTTGTTACTAGTAGTAATGCCTGGAGCTACTAGTAGCGATGCCCTTGCTACAACACCGTGTCCGGCAACTTTGATCAAGCTGACATACTTGCATCACATCTAAATCAAACAACAGCTCCACATGATCCAAAAATCCAACATTCTGGCGCCCATCTGTGGCCAACATCAGCTCAGGTGCCATGTCCGGGTATATAACACTGAAACACCTAAGAAGAGACAAACAACACAAAACGCATCGAAACAAAACGCACACCGTCCAACTTTCCAACTCATTAGTAACACCAAAATGGGTCAAAACCTGGAGCCCTGGTCCACCATGTAGCGAACAACCTTCCAGGCAGGACAACCAAGCTATCCTGGTGCCAGGACCCACAGCCAAATGAGCAAATACAACTTTTTTAGGAGGTGGTGGTGGTGGTAACATGTTTGGGGGCTTACGCAGAACCCTACGGTTGGCCATACCATGCCATCAGTTCTGCCGGTCGTTGCCCCAGTTCTTCTCATCCAGGGTCCTGCTGCCTCGCCTCAAGCTCCTGGACCTCGTGTTCGCTCCGCCGCTGGACGGACGCTCGACACGCTCGATGCTCGACACGCTCGACCGCCCACCGCGGAGGTTTCTCCGCTCCGTTTTCTCGATGCTTTTGGGACTGAACAACCTGAGCTGCGGATGGAGGGTGCAACTAAACCATGTGCAATCCAAGACACATGTCGACAGCTCACATGTGCAAGTCTTGGATGCATTCGGAGGGTCTGACTTTATGACCTGGTGCATGGATCTGTGATGATTCGTGGCAAGTCGAAAGCACAGGCGGACGTACATAGAGTTTGAGGTGAAAAATTGAGCCACTCTTGGACACGGGGTTGGTTTGGTTAGTTTGGTAGTTGTAGAACTCCGCCTGAGCAATTGGTGGAACAATTCCGAGCCAAATATTCCAAAGTCTCCATGTCAGGCAGTGTTCGTGGTTAACTTCGTGGGCCGAACTGGTAGATGAGGCTGCCAACGACCTTCAGTTCGAGTCAAACCAAAAAGACTTGACTCGAACGGCGATCCGCTGGCCCTCCCACTTCACGCCGCCAAGTCACCCTCCGTCGCAGTTTCTCCATCTCTCCTTTCCGTTCAGGTCGCCTGCGACAGGGAGAGCCCATCCCACCCAAATGACCCGTCACCACGCGGAGAGCCCAGCCTCTGGGAGAAACACATCGGAAAGCAACAATCACGGTGGAGGGCCGGTGGTTGCTGGCACACATGGGACCACAAAAGGCTTTCTTAGAGTGTTGAACGTCCAGGTGTCCTATCAATCACTGCCACTGCCAAACACAAAAGTTGTCCCATGATGAAACAGCTAAACCATGCTAAACCAACGATTCCTTCACCCAAAGACCTCACCCCACCCCCGTCCCAAAAAATGACTTGAAACCTCGAGAACTCCAAGCTTGACTCCGCAGCCCCCTCGGACGACCAATACATGGCGCCTTTCGAGCTCGACTCTTAAACGCTGGAGGTCCCCCTTCTGCTGGTGAATCACCCGCCTGGCGAACCAACCCTCGGGAAAACTCCGGAAGATCGTCGTCTCTCCGGAGAGGTCGTCCCCGGTGAGGCCCACCCGAACCGGACGGAGACGCCCCGAGCGGTTTGGGAACATCCGACCATCCGGGAGCGTCGGACCGTGGTGAGCACAGCGCAGCGCGACGATGCGACCGCTCTTCATGCGCGCGGTCGTATGCCGTCGTTCGATTGGTCGGGCGCTTCATCTTTTCATTGCACCAATGATTTTGGTGGCCATTGGTGACCAATTCGGTGTTTCTCGATCGTCACCCGGATTCAGTCACAAAGCTATTGGCGGAAAACGTGGTGAGAGGCGGAGGAACAAGAGAACTGCAGCAGGTATCTCTTGGAGGAGGTCGCCGGTTCCAAAGCTAGAAACCCTGATTCCTTGGAGTGGAAACAGGAATCCACTTGGCTATACTAGAACTTCATTCCAAATACTCCAAGGATAACACCAGCTGGCAGCGCCCATCTTTGAAGGATGCCCTCCCCAGACCCGTTTTTTCACAGTGGGTCCTTCAGCAGCATCCCCAAACAATCGATTGCGCCGTCTTTCCCGACACTATACAGGAACCTGAACCTGTGTGGAAAGCACACCCTATGTCATCAGACAAATATATAAAATATACATATATAATATATACATATATAGATGGATTCAAGTGATCAATGTTTGTTCTTGGTCCATCTGTGGCACTCCTCCAAAATCCATCCCTTTTGGTCCCAGACGCACGTGCTCCACTTCGATGTCGATGTGTCAGTCCCCAACATGCCGTGCTCCACCCGAGGCCCTCGATGACGTTCTCCAGATTTCGCTCCTGGAACATGAGAAAACACGACATCTGATAAAAACATCTGTTTTTCTTGTCCTTCTGGGAAACCTGTCAATAAGGGTCACAACCCTGGTGACCTTCCCCCAAGACAATTGAGTTGGACACATCGTTTGTACAGGCCATATTCTAACTATAACCCCCAAAGAAACACGCATTTCTCATGAAAAAGGATGGATACGCAACCTAGACCTCCATAGAACACTTAAGAACACATGCAGTTGGTATCAATTGGTTCAGTGACCGCACTTCGACCGAGACGGAGACAACGACCATGTCACGGCACATGTCACGTGATGGGAACATCCGAACATTTCGAGCAGCGTGACGTCTCACGCTTCCCGGAATTACGTTTTGTTTTGTTTTTTGGGGTTGTTGGACGCATCCACTGAGTGGCAGGGATGGGTTTAACTGGTTTCACCGGTGAGGTTTAACTGGTTTCACCCCAGTGTCGGTCTGGTGGGTGAGAGCGTCATGTTGCAAACCATGTTGGCAGGAGAAGATGCATACAAATTTGGATGCCGAAAGACTGTGCCTCTAAAGCAAGTGTTTTTTTAAACAAACGATGAAACGACATCCTGATGTCATCCTCTTCCAACCCGGAGAGCTCTCCCTACACATCCACATCCCACGCATTGCACCCTCGTCACCTCGTCAGTCCATCCGAGCCACCGAGTCCTTGCGGCTCTGGAGCTTGGAGGCCATGGCCTTGTCGATCCAATTGGTGTAACGCGGAGACCGTGCTGAAGAGATACAAGAGGCATCCATTGTAGATCCCGAATTGCAACTTCAGTTGAACACGTTTCGATGTATGTTTGGAAAAATAAATATTGGAGCTTCTTGGGTGGTGCCAAGGAAGAACGGTAAGAATCATGAATGTCATCGTGCAGGTGAAGTTTGCTCAGCTGACTGGCCCAGGAACATGAACCTACCACAGACCGCCTGTGGTAAAACTCCTCAAGATGCTTCGAGGTGAACAAACGACACTTTACCCACCACGCTGTTTTCAGCGCCAAGTCACGACCCTCAAGCACAACTCAGACTCCAAACTCTACACAGATTCGCCATGATTTTTTTCAGGGGAGCATGCCTGAACATCTTGTTGTGCGTCCCAGGCCCCAGAACGTGCAATGAACATTCAGCAAATTTAGTCAACAATTCGTTTTGCTGAGGATCTTTAATGTTGACGATTTTGGTTGCAACATGTTGGGTCAACGGGGGGTTTGCCCGGAAAGGCAGCCTTTCCGATGACCCAAGATTGTCTGGTGGGATGCAGATGATCCACTTCGCTGATCGTGATCACGATGACGACGATGATGATGATGATGAGCTGATGCGCTACGTGCAGGATGCGGATGGTGCGCTGATGCGCTACGTGCAGGATTGCGCTGATGAGTCACGGGCATGATGCGTAGGATGAGGTGATGCGCTACGGACATGATGCGTGACTGCTTCCGGGGCTGGGGGGTGGGGGTGGGTCCAAGATGATCAACTTTGGTTGCATGATGCGTTGCGGGCATGATGCGGATGATGCGCTGATGCGTTACGGACATGATGCCGAGCTACCCCCTTTGCAATGTATGTTAATGTTAACGGGGAAGTCCAAAAGGTATACTATATGTTGCTTAAAGTTATATGCATTTTGCAATTGTCACTGCTAGCCGCGCCCCCTGACCACTGTATATGATGTTGCAAGTCTCCCTCGATTGCTGGGGTTTCCCCGGCAAAATGACTCCAGACTTTGTCATTGCATCTCGCTATATCTTGCGCTCCGACTCATGCAAGAAGCAAAAGAAGGCAGAAGACAGACTGCTTGCACAGGCTCAGCCGGAAGACTCCAAGCGCATCCTCCTTCTGACACAAGTCCTCCACGGTCTTCAAGGGCTGGAACTGGCCACATCCTGACAATGAAGGATCCGTTCACCCCAAAGCACAATGGATGGTTTCAAGATAAGTCGATATATCTCGGCAGCAATGTGTCAAATTAATTAACTAAATCGGTTTCAAGCGAAACCGCAACCCACACGCAGTGCACCATGTAGAAACTATTCTCAATCACAATGGACGGGCAATCAAGGCATCTGCAAGCCAAGACTCCCCCTTTTCAACGTGGGGAGGCCTTCAGCGACATTGACTGCAGTGGCGCAACCTGGGCTCCATGACGAGTCGGGTGTGCGTCTGTCATAGTCACTGACACTGACACAGAGTCAGACTATTTCCGGACAGGGTTTGGAATCATGGCTCTCACCGTCTTGCGCTTCTTGCGCGCAGCAATTCAGCATGTCATGTCTTGCGGGCACAGCGGCGTTGTGATCGATGCAGAACTTCGCCATCTTGAGTGTGTCTCGAAGTCATATAGGCCTTGAAGTCATCATTCGCAGGTGACAGTGTCTTGCAAGGCAGTGGATGAGATGTCCGAGCACGTGCCAGGCGTCATGCCACTCTCCGTTGGCTGATGGCGCCTTGAGTGGATGCAGGGCAAGGATGCTGGGGTTGGCGCACTCTTTTCATTGGCCTGTCGGAATCACAATGCAACGTGGTCAGAAGCTCCAAAAATCCAGCCATGGATAATGCAACTACATTTGGTCACCGTCTCGCTGCCACTTGCCATCTTGAGCTAGTTATACAGAATGCTAGCGCGCCATGCGTGAAGATGCATCTCAAGGCGGCCTCACGCAGGTCTCGGACCACTTCAAGGGAAGCTTGCTTGTGGGCTAGACGCTGTTCAACCTCGGAAACTTAGCCAGAATGGCCACAGGGGTATCATTTTTTGCATATATGATGTTTAAAACAAGTGAACAAGTATTTTAGACTACCTCCGGCAAGGTTTTGCCAGCCCGCCTGTTTTGAAACACATGCGATGAATATACGATTTAAATATACGGTCAGCTTACATATGTGCGGCGGCATTTGTTTGGTACTGAGCTCAAATACACTATCTATTATGTAGGGTGTTGGTGGTGCTCTTGGTGGTCTTGGGGGTCCCGGTGGTCCGGTCTTGGTGGTCTCCGTGGTCTAGGTGGTCTTGGTCCCGGTGGTCTTGGTGGTGATTGTGGCGGTCTAGGCGGTGTTGGTGGTGCTCTTGGTGGTCTCGGTGGTCTTGGTGGTCCAGGCGGCCCTGGTGGGATTTGGCGGTGTGGCATGCGGACGATGTGCTGACGCATTACGGGCATGATGCGCAGGATGAGCTGATGATGATGTCTTGAAACCCACTCAAGTCATCGTCTTGGAGCTCATGAACTCCACGACGATGAGTTGAGTGGCCTGAAAGGCAAAAAAGAACTGTAAACGCATGGTTGTCTAGCCCTCAGCATGTTGCTTTCTGGGCAACGCTCCCCCCGGTTTACGCAACATGTTGCAACATCAAACCATCTCCGCTCCGCCTTTTTCCTTCCAGAAAGAACCTCCGCCAAGGCACCGCTGGCGGGCCTTCCGCACGCCTCTCTTCAGAGCCGACGCACGAAGAGGGGTGGGGCTAGCCATGCTCTCAGTCTCAGTGCTCTGTGAGGAATTCTGGGTGTAGCTGTCCATTACCCTCCCTGAAACAATCTATGGAAGTGGAAAACCAGCGGCTTGTAGAGGAACACAGTCTTGCAAGAGGCTATAGCCCACTTGGAGGGAGGGTCAACAAATAACAATGTATACACGGACCAGAGAAGTGATGAAACAGCTGAAAGAAACCTCCAAACTTGCAAGAAACCAAGGTCTTCAAATCCCAAACCCCATCGCAACCAGGTGTTCATCCCGACAGCTGTGACTTCAGCCAAACCACGACGACTGCGATCGGCCCAATTTTTTTGGAGGCGACCGTTGTGGGTCGGTGTGGGTCGGTCGAACACTGGGTTAGTTCTGAGAATCTCATCCGTCATAGGCTGTTGTAGGCGGTGGGTGAAACCGCGAAACACCGCGAAACACCTAGACAGCTGTCTAGCTGTCTACTCTGAAAAGAAATGGGTCCTGCTCCATTCCGCTGGGTGGCTTCCACCAAACACACATTTCCTCTACACCCAAGAAAAAACTGAAGAAACTCAAGATCTGAAGGCTGCAACAGATTGCAAATGCCTAAACCAGTTCCTTTGATTGACCTTGCGGACCTTGCGTCCTCGACGTCACGCGCACATGATGTCCTGGCCTGGGCTCTTGTTCGGCGAGCTCCAACTCCAGGATCTTGCGAGGATATTCGGCGTCGATGTGTGTGTGTGTGTGTGCGCTTATCCCACAGGAGTGACCAATCTTCAATAAACCTATCATACATTACCATACCATGTAATTGAGGTCTTTCCAAAACACTGGGATGGGACAAAGAATGTTGACAATCAATTTCAATTTAATGGTATCGGGTGCTCAAACAAAATGCCGACAGGTGGTGGACTTCCTTTGTGCCTTCGAAGTTTGACAATGGATGCCTCAAGTGCATCCAATGGGTTGAACCTACCCCACTCACTCTGGCACTTACTTGCGATCGAAATCCTTGGCAACTCAGTGAAACCGCTTAGGCACCGATTCCACCTGAAATCAAGGAGCAATGCATGGGATAGTCAACACACCCACACACATTGTCCACCCAAGAGGCCCGTGGAGACCGCAATCACGGCCGATAGCAGCACACATTGTTGGGCCAAAAGACCCTACAACATCCAACCACTCTGCGCAACAGAAGGGCCAATTTTCTTCGGTTGGAGGTGCCGGTGATCTTAGGCAGTCTGGCTGTGAATCACAACTCGGAGCCCCAAACCCTGGTAGGTTGGCCTCCCTGGCAGTCACGGTAGTCTATTCGGTTCATTTTCAGTGGTCAGCCAAGGCCCCCCGTTTTGGACCCACAGCCATCTGACATTCAATGCAAGCTCACCCATCCTTTTGACTATCCTGGAGGACAGCCCGTCCCAAGACATGATCCCTCGTCTCTCCTTTGTTCAGTGCTTCCGCAAAGACTTCCTTTCCTAATTGTGATAGCTCAAGCTCTTCATCCAAGAGGATCAAGCCATCAAAAGGGTGCATTCACAATGTTTAACGATAAACACAGGAGCAAAGTACCAGCTCCAGTCCAGCCCTGCATCTGAGTACGGAATGAGACAGCCCGTCTTCCGTCTGAGCATGTGCTGGCACCACCTGGAAGAGACCCACATGGAAGCTGAAAACCACTGGGTCACTGGGTAACAGAGGAGAATAGTCTTCCAAACGTCCATGCCATCAGGTTCCATGTGGGTCTCTTCCCGGGTTTTTTCATGGGATTCTTTCAGTGGCGCTGCCATCACGATGCTCCACTCATGGAGATTTCCAGCTCTAGCGGCGGCCAGACCAGTCTGGTCTTGCGCTTTGGCGGGACAACCGAAGGTCTTTCCCTATGGATTCACATACCGAACCTGGTCGGTCGGTGATTGGAGACTATTTAATGTAGGCACCAGGAGGGTCCAACTTAATTTCCTTCTGAGAAGGTATGTGGATCCGTAGGGTTTATGTTGCGTTCCAAGGTGGCATGTCACAGCCTTCTGGTCGGAACTGTATGGTTGAACACTCTAGATCTCCGCCGTCAAGCTGCTGCTCCGAAAGGGGCTTATAGCAAAAGCTGCGTGTCTAGGCTGAAGCCTCCCTTCCAGTACTGCTCAGGATCTTTGGTGGAAACGATCAATGCCCAGCCAGCAAGCAGCCTTCTATGTGGCATATCGAAAAGTTCGGCTCCCACCAAATCCTTTCAATACATGTCCAAACGCGCAGGTAGCATGGTTCGCAAACGGGTGGACTTACAGCTTTGTCCAGAAGCAGCAAAACACATCAGGCATGGTGTCAAACCTTAGAAATCTCTCAAACTCCATCTCTAACCAGTCGGCAAGGGTAGTCCCTCCCCTGGCTGATGTCAACTCGTTTCTGCTCTGCTCAAGCCAGGAAATCTGCTTGGGATGAGCTGCAAAGGACAATTCTGTTTGAGGTACGTCAGAGAGAGCCACTGTGGTGACAGCTCCACATGGGTGTGCATTTAAATAGGGACACCTCCCAGTTCGACCCCCTGGAAGAAGAGAAATAATAGAAATAGACCAAACCCCATTGGGGCAGGGGGTCTCCATATTAAAATCAACACCCACATCTCTCTTTGACCATCTTGTGGACACTTCGGAAAAAACACACTTTATCGTAGAGCAGAAAATGCTCCTTCAGGAAGGCAGGGCTTGAGAAATATACATTATTCTAAAGAGTTGCCAAAGGCGCGAGGGCTTAAACAGTGTAAACACAGTGAACACATGTCATCTTCACCAGTAGACACCAATTCAAAACCAACCAAAGACAATCACAAAGACATGATTTTAGAACACCATCGAAAGGTTAGGCTCTAGCTTTGATGCCTTCAAAAACAACGACTAAAACATTTAAACAGAAAAAACACGCCCAAGAACGCGGATGAACGCGGTTCATTTCAACAAACACATCTCCATCGACCTTCTGTCACCGCGGTTAGTAACCGCGGGTGAAAACCCACCGCGCCGCGCGGGGGGGTGGACCGACTCCCTCCGGACCAAGCGCCGCACGCGGGTCTCCAAGCGAGAGCTTCGGTGCTGACCCTGGGGGTTCAAGGCTCCGCAGAGCACGGCGACATACAGCGACATGGGACATGATGGGACACGGTGGGACATCATGGGGTCTTGGTTTGAAGAGAAACAGACACTGGTCCCAGTCGCTGTATCATACGTAGTATGATACTAGGACCTAAGAGACACCAGTCGTGATACAAATAAATCATACTGCATCATAAGACTAAGAACTAATAAGAGTCACTGATCCCTTTGGGTATTTTTGTGAGTGACATCCAAGTCTGTAGAGGTCCCAAATAAAATAAAACTAGAACATACAAGAAACTTGTCCGTGTCCCAATGCATTTTCCATGAAGCAGGGCGGCTGTTACTTGGGAATAGTCGGGGGTGACTGTAGGGGGGGAGGATTCCTTTCTTGTCGTTGATCCTGTTGCGAGTCTATATGAGTCTGAACTGATCACAGAAACCTGAGAAGGGGAAGCTTACGAGTTAGCCAGTGGAAGCTTACTTACGTGAGCCGTCAGACTATGGCGCTGGGTGCTCACAGCACCTCTGTGTTCGGCTCCCTTGCACCGACCGCAGTAGCAGTGGCGTTTTTTGGGGGACACCCCAAACGACGAAGCCCCAAAGCTTGATAGAACGTCGTTGGCAGCTCGGACCTGATACGAACCAGTTGACCGGCTGACCCCGACCCCGATGCAAGCGATGCCGACACAGGTTTCGCGGCTTGCATCTTTTGCACCAAGCACGAGCACAAAAAAGGGCCTTCGCCAAAAAGTAAAAACACCAGGCTCAATGATTGTCGGTACATAGTGTCGCGTCCCCGCAATTCTCACTTCGATTGCATAAACTACTGTAACTTCAGCCCAGCCTGTCGGCTGGCTTTCATAATCATCCCAGATGAACTGGAGCAAACAAAAAGTAGCAGCTCATAATCCTCGATCAGAAATATGGTTGTAAATTGGTTGTGTATAAAGACATCTATTGTACAAGTGCTACTCCAAGCAAGCCGTGCTACCAGGGCACAGAAAGCGGCATGTCTTGTTGTGAAAAGAGGAAGCTCCTTGACCCTGGAATTCAGATCTGGAGCTTTCCTCAACCAATCATCAATCACCCTTTCTCACCATCCCTGTGTTGCTCTCAAGATCTCTCAAGTCTCGAACTCCCCAAGGAATCCGACCCCTCAAAGTGCCTCCTCGTCTTCCTGCCGAGTCCTCCCCCGGCCTGCTCTCGATCGAAGCGGAGCTCCAAAATCTGATGCTCCGCGTCCAGCAGCCTCGCGAGGTCTGCCGCGGTGGTCTTTTTTGGTGGCTCCGTGACGACGCGAAAGAAACAAACACCTGCTGTTCAGTCCTCTGAAAGGGGGTGCACTATGGTGCATTGCCTTCAAAATGAGCCAAAAGGAGTCAAAGTTAGAACACCTCCAAAAGGAAAGGATGTCAACCCACAAATAGATTCATGCTATATATACCCGCACTCACTGCCTTTTTTCCTGCGCTCATACCATGGGGTGAACCGAAACCGGCCTCTCAGCGCTCTGCTGCTCGTTCCGCCGCGAAGCCGTGAGCTCCTCCTCCAGCCTCGGAAGGCGCTGCGGGCGGTGTGAAGGACGAGGACGATGTGATCGGATCCTTGAGGACGACGTGCTGGAAAACCGGCGGCGCGGGCCCTTCGGTGTGGAGAGTCCCCGCGACGGAAAAAACCATGAGAGGCCCAGCGACCGGAGTACTCTGCAGGAAGTCAGAAAAGCTGCGCTGGGCCCAAGAGCGACCTATTCTAGGATTCGAAAGTTGGAGGCAGTTGGAGGCAAAGACTAACCACGGAGGAGACACCGTGGAAGCTACTCTGAGTGGTGACAGTGAGGTGCACCCAAAATCCTCAAAGACCTGCGACTTTAAGGGCGACTGGCTGGTGGACGTCAAGTTGCTTCTATGAAGCATGCTTCCATCTTAGTCATAGTCACTATTAGTCTGCGTCTGGGAAGATTGGGACGAATGCTGAACGTTGGAGGTACGAGTGCCTACACAGCCAACCACATGGACATCCCTCTGCATTTCTCTCAAACGCCACTCCAAGTGTTCAACAAATCCAACCGAAGACACCAAAACGCCGGTGGACTGTTGACCGAACCCACCAAAAAACATCGGTGTTTGGCACCCCAAACATGTTTGGTACCCAACGCAATCAGACATTCCGCAGTCCTGGCGTTGTCAAGGGTCACACAAGGGTCGCTTTCTGAACCCTCAAGTCAGTTTCCGGCACACAAACCCAGTGGCCTTCGCAGTTGCAGGTTCAAGCGCATGTACTCCTGGAGACATGGATGGACCATCATGAGGGGTGTAGCCAGTGTAGCCTCGTCTTAGCAGCGCCATGTCGCCACATAACAACTATCAGAAATCCAGCTGGAGTCAGGCAGGCAGAAGACCCTTGACTGCGCGATCTACATCAACGGAGATCCGAAAGAGCTCACGCCCACTCTCAAGCGAGACGGGCGTGTTTCATGGCCGTGTGGCAAGATGAGGATGCTTCAGTAATTATTCACACCATACCCAGGAATAACCCAGAAGTCTTTGATGAGTGAGCAGCCTAACGCCGACTCAAAGAGGGTCTTTCTCTCACGTGTTTTTCTACGCAAAAATGTACATCACAACAACTGGCGTCAACTGGTATGCACGGCTAGGGTCATAAAACGGACATGTTTGCAGCATCCTCAGCAGTTGAGTGCCAAGAATCCAGATGTGATTTTGTTTTTATTGTTATCCTTTTCCAAGATGTTTGGAGCTGAATGACTACGTGGGTCACATGGCTCGTGAAGGGTCTGTATATAAACCCCCAAGTAGATAGAAGTTCGTAGACCCCCACTAAAAGTGTCTTGGAAGCCGTTTCCAGCTACTTGAGAGAGGAGGGGGTGAACGAAAGGTAGCAGGCAATCACAAGTAACCCTGGTAGAAGTCCATGACGGCGTGAACCGGCGCAGGGGGGATTTGATCCAGGGGGGGCCCCCCCCCCCCGACGAACAGAATCAACTCTTACAGGACCAAACTCAATGCACAATCCCAACTCCTGATTGTAATACATTTTTGCTAAAGCAAGGAGAACTCAGGTAGCTCAAGCTACCTTTCGTGATTTGGGGATCACTATATATACTCCTCTACAAAACAGGAGGCTTTCCTCTTCCATCTGATTTGAGGCCTGTCAATGTTCACCTGTCAGCTTTCACATGGCACATCTCTGCATTTTTCACTCACCCTCCAGTCACGTCCCAATCTCCTCCTCTCGTTGTGCCCAATCCCCTTCACCTCATTCGGGATTCCACATTCACCGTGATTCACCCACAAGTCCATGAGCATGTATACTTTGCGGTTGCGCAAGTCAAAGGGTTCTCCTCCTACGTTTCTACGAAAGATAAAACACTCAAGGCATGTTCCAGTTGTCGTTTGGCACACGAATTCGCGGGAGGACTTCCTCCACGTCCAAAAGCTCTCACGACAGCCGCCTGGAGGTCGCTGAGGGCCACGCCAGCCGCCGAGCGCGCGCGCTTCAAGTCGAAGATGAGCTCTGAGACGTGACGCTCCTTGTCCTGGGGAGCCCGAGCGGGAGAGCCCGCTCGGCACCGGGGGTGGAGGAAGACCCAAGCAGCGGCTGGAAGTGGTAAACATTAAAGAAACACACTTGAGGCTCTCTCTCTCTCCCTCCCTCCCTCCCTCCCTCCCTCCCTCTCTCTGTCTCTCTCTCTCTCTCTCCCTCCCTCTCTACTCTATGAATTTAAGACAAAAACTAGACTGTGGGGACCAGCATTGCACCCCAAAAAATTCAGCGGGTTTAGGCAATTGAGGCGTATTTTCACGCCTAAACATAAAAGACATCGTGACATCGTTTGAAATGTTCTTCCCCCTTCCTACCATGTCCACACTCATGGGCTCGGTTCCTTCCTCATCACATGTCATGTGTTCCCCGTTCCTCGTGGTGTTCGGTTTCAGAACACCCGGAGGGAGCGACAGCACCATCGATTCGAGATCAATTCAAATCACCAGGTAGCAACGGACCGCTGTGGGAAGTGTCCCACTTACGCTGTGTGGGTGCAAGATGAAGTGTCCAATGTGAATCTTCTACCCTGAAAAACATCCTTCAAACAGGACACCAGCATTTCTGACAACAACACGAGCAGCAACACTGTTGCCACCAACCAAAACGACGACACCAGCAGCAACAACAACAACAACAACATCGACAACGGCCCGGAAGGACAACACCAGCGATTGCCTCGGCTTTAAACCAAGCGCCACGATCAATGTCGAAACAAAAAAAACGCCATGTGTCAACACCGAGGTTTGCACCTCTAACTCCAGGTTCAACTGTCTTACTCGGCTCTGCTCCTGGGCGAAGCGAACAGTTCGCGTCGCTGGCGACCGGTAGAAACTTCGTCGAAGAGTTCAGCAGTTCGGCTGGACACTGGACTACCCGCCACCCGGCAAATGAGATAGCGATATAGAATGGGAGTGGATTGCAACCGAAAATGAGTACTGTGAACTTCCTGCAAAGGTTAACCTATGCTTTCTACAGTAGCATTTTTTCGGGGGGTATGATATTGACATATATGCACTATGCCGAGGATGTAGGGACCCACAGCCATGTCGGTGGTTGCTCACTTTACGTCAAATGAAAATTGCTCGTTTGGGTGGGTTGAAAACAACAGTAGAACGACGTTTTTCCGTGAAAATGCCAAAGACATTTCCGTGGTCCAACGGGTATTTGGCATGCAAAGACTCATACAAGGAGTACACCCTGGGAAACCACCAAGACAACTCGGCTGTCACAGGTATGGCATTGGCTTTGAAACCAGAAGTGGCTTGGACGTGCTTGGACCGTTGGAGGATCTCGGAGGATTAAACAACGTTCTTTTTCCCTCTGTGTTTGTTCCTTTTACAACCACTGTTGTGTGCTCAACAACGCCAAACACACAACATTCTCCCTTGGAAGTTGCAGGATCACCCGAGAGTGCTGAAGCTTGGCACATTTTGCCACCCCGCTTTCAACATCGAACACATTCATCAACCCACATCCTGGATCCTGGATGGTGTGAACTCACTCTTCGCGACAAGCCGAGTTCGTGGGTCCATGGGTCCTTCTTTGAAACCACCATGTGGGTCCGTGCACAGGCGCACCGACCTCCGAGAATGAGAATAGATGACCAAACATGGTCCACCGACCAGGATTTAGCGCTACCGGTGCCATGCCCCACAGCCATGTCTTAAGACGATTCCCATTCCCCCACGGCCCCACACCTTTTCGATCTGCTGTCGCGCATCGACCTGGAGATCGGCAAGATCAAGCGATCAGGCCGATCACATCATGGGCGAAGATGCTTCGAAAAACCGGAGCCATTTCGACTACTCGTGTTTTTTTGGGTAAGGAAGTGCTCTTAACCAAGCCTCTTAAGCACACATGTGTATCTTGGACTTGCTTAAGGAACCTGGAAACAACGGGGAAAAAACGATGATTCACCAGAAGGGGATTGGACCATAGGGAAAATACACATCGCCTTAAGCAGAACCAGGGTATATATAATATTACAATGGTGTGAATGGGACGCACTCAAGCTTTATGCCCTGTTGTTCCAACGGTGGACAACGACAGCAACCCGGTTCCCATGCATTGTGACTGATGAACAAATCTTAGACTCTGCCACTAACCTAAATGATGGGTACGTGCCGGAGTTGGCAAAGGGATGGCGCGACAGAACTAAGCTGGCTGTTGCCCTGGTTTTCATAAGCAATGCTGATGGTTGCAGCTCAAATGACTTCAACTTGGTATGTCCGAGACAAAACTGAACACATATGAGATGCAAAGACAAAACTGAGAACATGATGTTCTTCACCATGCTGATGCAATTCCGGCATGGTAGGTCATGTGGGTCGATGTAAATTCCTGGACCGGTTCTGCATGGTTCTGCGCTTCGAGAATGGTCGTGGCGCAGGGTACACCCTATTGGCCCTATTATTGCCAGTATCCGAAAATTCGAAATCACAGCTCAGGATTTTTCCGCGTTACCATCCGCCTGGAGGGGCACAGAACGCGGACTCTATATTCCGCAGTCTGGAAACCCATCTACTCCACCATCCGCGTGCCGAATGACGTCGGAGTCTGGCTTGGCGACCGGGACCCGGGGCCTCCAAACGACGTTTGCAGCTCTCCAGCTCCGCCTCCAAGGTGTAGATCTTGTCCCGAAGCTGCCGGGGTGACCGGGCCCAGTACCGGCCGTGCGGTAGATGTCGGTGAGGGCGGTGAAGGCAGCGCGGTGAAGGCACGTGCTGTAAGGATCCGTCGAGGGCGCGATTTTTCAGGTTGGGTTTTCAGACTGGGGGTGCGCTGGAAGAGGACTTGGGTCGTCTGACCCAGGAGATGCTCCCCATACTGCTAGGAAATAAACCGAATCCTCAGAACCACCTGCCACCCCAATCAGCTTCTCAGGTAGTCGGAGCAGCTACGGGTAGATGACTCAGATAAACCCTGCCTACCGTGAGTCCCTCAGTCCTTCAGCGAGTCGACCCTTCCCGCCTCGCGAGTGCCTTTCACCTCGAGTTTCAGCTCCTGCCCACGGCGAAGGTGAAGGTGACGCCAGTGCTTGATGCCCACGGCGCAGCTTGGGTGACGATTCGTGGGTGCTTGGGTGTTGCTGGCACGGTGTTGCTGACCTTGTTCGTTGTGTGTGCTGCTCTTATATAATCTCTTACTTTATTGGCGCTCCAAAGAACACCATCTTCAATCTTGTCAAGGTGACCGGGTCCATACTGGTCCAATTTTTGAGCCACTGCCATAGTCACTTGTCGGTTGGACCACCGTCACCTCATTCCACGGAGCATCCAAAACCTTTGACCAAGGATGTGGCCTACAAGGTCATGGCACCCCCATCATGACCCTGCTGAAAACCATAGACAAGTCGAGCATTGCACACTCAGCGATCCATGTAAGCAAATATGGCCTTCATTTGGTGGTTTTTGGTGGTGAATGTATATAGGTTATATTTACTTACTACATGGATGGTTTGGAACATGTTCCCCTGCGATGCTTTGAGTGGTCTTAGCCGGGCAGTTCAGCAGGCTTATGATATTCTGTGACTAACAGAACCAGCAGCAGTTCCTGAGCTTGCCTAATTGCAGGTGTCCTGTTGCGACCTATGCCCATTAACGCCCAAGGGATGTCCAGGCTCAACAACAGTCGCGAATCGCCCCTTACTTAAAACCATCCAAATTTTGGCTCACCATCATTGAACAAGAGCTCCTTCCTGAGTCCAGTGGTCCAAGCTCATTGTTTTACGTCAGCATCGACATTCCCACACCTCTTCCACACTCCGGCCTTCACCAAGGGAGGTGCCTTTTCTCCAGCGGACAAAAGCACATGGAGTGGCCTGTGGCAGTCTCTGATTCGCCATGAAAAGAGTGTGTGGCAAGTGGCAAGTGGTTTTTTGAATGGTCGAGTGGGTGGAGTTGCCAGTGGCCTGTACGGCTACGCATGTGGCTATAGTGGAGGGTAAATCATGTAAACAAATGTGCCTTCAAAGGGTCCTGGTCAACTGTTGAGATCTGTTGAGTACTCAAACACTCCGAGCGCTGGAGTATCCAGCGCGTGAGCGACAGCTGCGCGGCTTCCCGGCAGCCAAGCCCGGACACCTCGAGAGGTCACGGCGAGATGCCTCGCCTGGGATTCTCCTCGTTCCGAGTCTGCTCCTGAAGACCATCGGAGAGACGCTCCGCCGGCTCGGAGCGTCTCCGTCGTCTCACCCGTTCTGAGTCTTAAGTATGTGTTATATAGGTGGAAAAAAGGGGTCTTGGAAACCTGTTTGACCAATGGTCATTTTTTCTTACCAACCCGAAGGCGTTTCCGCGAAGGATGGCGGAGAGACCCAACAGGTCGGCGTTCACGCAGACTGGGAGGAACTGAGGCGTTGGTCATCACGGTCTGTGATGGTGAGTGGTTGTGGTTTCCAACACAGAACTGATGAGTGGGCGGGACAAAACCCATTTGACACACCATTTTCTGCAACTTAAGCAATGGTGGGTGAGGGTGGTCTTTTGGGCCGTCACAAAAGGAAGACTGACGAAAAGGACGTTTGTTGCATACACCATCATAAATATCCCGAATCATATTCACCACAGTCAGTTGCATTCCTGATTTGAACATCCTGCAAACCATCGCCGACCTGAAATCTGCAGGACATGTTCATCCGGCACCGCGACCCTGACTGACGAATCCTCACGCTGTTGAGTTTGAAGATTGTTCGCACGTGATGTGTAGGTGATTTACCCTCCATCCAACAAACATGGTTACGTGGAACCACTTCCATGATTGTTTCAGGGAGGGTATTTCTGGAATGAAAGGACCCATTCCAGGCTCTACTCGGATCCATTCGACAATAAAAACAACACCACCTTTTCCGTGGACCGTCATGGAACTCTTTGAGTCCATCTTTTCGCACCCCCAAAGCGGAAACGTCGCACAGACCGTCGCAGACCTCAAACCCTTAAATCAGGACGAACAAACGGAAGACTTGTGAACTGATGAAACGATGGTTTCCGACCCATGGGACTGCGCCGCCATATGCCGCCTACATGGACCCCCTCCACCCCTGGCCCGTTTCTCGGCATACCAGTCCCATCGGTCGCGTCTGAGGTTCCAGGAGGTTACCAGGAGGGTACCAGGAGGGTCCAGTGGTACCGAACCTGAGCTTCGGATCAATCCCCACGCGTCGTCGCGAAGCGACGGGATCGGCCTCGCCTCCTGTCGCAGCGACTGCAGCTCTCGCTCCACACGCCGGCGTTCCTGGAGTGGACGGAGTGGACCTACGCTGACTTAGCCCCTCGTCAAGCGACTGCGACCCGTGAAAGATGTTGAAAGAATGAAAGAGATTCCACATGAGATGTTCAGGTTCCCCATGATTCCCCTGTCCCAGATGCTGAAAAAGATGGAGTGGACATCCCAAAAGTTCAGAGACAATAGGGAAGCTCCTGTTGGATTTTGCAATGCACGTGTGTTTATCATGTATTTAGTGGCCTTGGGGAGGGCAAACTTCCGCAAACTTGCGATTTTCTCACTCCCCAAAGTGTGCCAGCACACTGGTCGGAGTGACCGGTGGACACCACGGCGTCGGCGGGAAGAACTGCCGTTTAGGGAGGTGGTTCATCATCTGTCATCTGTCATCCGAAGGCCTCTTGTCAGCCCTGATTCGTTCTTCAGCAGCATTCTCTTCACAGGCATAATTGGCCTTTCTCGGCCAGCTTAAGCCACAAAACCTTGTGATCACTGGCGAACTGGAGGTTTTATTGGCACTGGGCCAACACGTCGCAAACAGCTGAAAAGCGGCGCTCTTAAGCACGACAAGCCACCATGAAAACTGATGCCACCACTGGCGCTTTTCGTCGGCCTTTTTAAAGAAGCACGAGGAGTCGGTAGGTGTGTTAGGATGCGAAAAAGGTGGGTCCAAGAATGTGCCTTTGCCATGTCCACCCTTGCTACGAGGCGTGGGCATCAACGGCGCCTGAAAATCTCTGGGAAGCACGGCGGTGCCCCAATGCTTTTCACATCTTTTCACCAGATCGTTCCTTGCGACTCCCAGCTGCTCGTCTTGAGAGAATTGCTCTGTCTTATCCACGATGGCGAGAAGGAAGGAGTGTAAATTGCTCGAGAAACAGTTCCAACACCTGACGGCATCTAAGATCTGTGGTCCCTGAACAGTTCCATTGTGAATTCCGAACGCTTCAACGTAACAGCAACGCTTTGGGGTCCCGCCGGCGCCGCGGTGGCTCTTTTCCGTGGGTTCGAGTGCGTCTCAGAGACGCGTGCAGTCACCAGCGGCCAAATCCTTGGTTTCTCCTACCAAGTCCTGTTCTGTGCGAGCAGGGCCTTGTCCAGGGATCTTTACTCGTAGGGTCCTGACGAGATATAGCGGCTTGTTCATGGTGCCCGATGGGTTCACGCGCAGCCGCCCAGCCGCCGCCCTCGTCTCCCACGGTCCTCCTCCGATTGAAACAAGGCCGCCCTCAGAGATGCCACTCGGTCGAACGTGGCTTGCCACACGCAGCTAGAACTGGATACCAGCACCACCCATGGCGGTGAATTGGGATGGGAAATGCTTGGTAGTGGGAGTCTAGGGCGGTGCTGGTGGAACCCTGAGATTATTTGGAATTCAGGATACTTGGGGAAGATCCACTCGCATCTCCACGCTGGTCGAAACCAACGGTCAACAGCTTGAGAAAGGACCGTTCCACAACCAATTCGTACGCATGCTCACCCGGCATCGGCTTTTTGGAGTGATGGAGACATTCAGCTGGCTGTGATGGAGCCATACCTGCATGGTTTTGAAATGGATCTAAAGGGGTGACGCAAAAAACCATCTCAAGCAACCCTCTCGAACAAACTCGCTGGGATCAAATGAAGGGCTTCCTTCCCATCTCCAGGTTTCTTTCCAGATGGACCGCCAGTAGCCCGCCCAGGCCTGGCCGCCCGCGTGTCCACTCGGTTCCACGCGTTCAAGGGCACCGGCAAACGGTCTCCAGACAGTCCTGAGGCTCCATGCTGCAGTTGGTCCACCTTCTGCCGATGTCTTGCCTGCGGAGGTCGATCGGTGTCTCGCCTGCGCGCCATTCTTTTCGCCTAACACCGGACGTGGGCCGGACAGGCGCAAGCTGGGTTGTGGACTCAAACAACAAAGTGGTGAGTCTGTCTTTGGTGAAGAGACGTTTAACCGTTAAGAGCGTAAGAAACAAATCACAATGATGGCCCTCCCCCCAAAAAACCAGCCTGCATCACGGGAGTGTGTTCTTTGTTCCAATTTCTTCCTGCACCAAATCACATATACTCGCACGTATCGGACTGTTCGTCGCCGAGAGAATGGGCTCGGCATTCGCTCATCGCCGCTTTCCACCACATATAGTAACAATAGTAACATATACCAGGACCCTCCAAGGGCCAATGGAAGCCTAGTGCGGTAGTGTCGGGTAGTCCAGCCAGGACACCCCGATAGGAGGGTCCTGGCCGCAAAGCATCCGTCATCTGGAACTGACTCGCCTCGCCTCCACAGCCCCGTCCAAGCGTCGATCCTGGAATTGCGGCTTCGGTGGAGGGGATGCATCCATGCAAATGGATATGGAAAGGTCATGTACCTGGACCCGACTTCACAGGTTCCTGGTGACAAGTTAGGTGTCCAGAAATCGTGCTATACCTCTCGTAGGAGTCATAGGAGTGCTATTTTAACTGATCAACAGTCTTACACCAAAAGCATCTACACTCCGCATTTTGATACTCCGCCTTTGATGCAAAAACAACATTTATTTAGGGGATTGTTTCAGTTCAAGGCCACTTGGCTTTGGGATGCTTTGAGGAATTTTGGGGCTGTGTATCAACCTTCATTCATGGTTGGATTTTGCAGGACTTTGGCCACGGTCGACTAGCAGGGCAACAGGGCTGTTTCGATCCCGCTGATTTCGACGGCCGGTGGGGTTGCCATGGCTCAGATCCCCATGCTCATTACGTCGTCCTAGAGTGAGCTCGTTCTACAATGCCCCACTACCCACAATGGCTCCTCAATGCCTGTGACACCCTATCCTCTTCCCTCTTCCCTCTTTTCCACGGGTCAGCATTGTCACACATTGCTGCATGTCCTCCTTGTCTTAGCTGCTTGGCTGGTTCTTGGGGCACTGGGCCGTTGTACTGCATTATTATGTTTATGCTGCATAGAATCATGCTCGGCCCCCGCTTTTGAGGATTCTTGGGTGCTCCTGCCAGTGGCCGGACAGATCCCCAAATCAACGCCGTCCACAACCGTCTGCGCCGTGTGAAGCGTCCCAGCCACCGTCCCAGCCGGGCACCAGCCCAGCCCCCGAGTGTCGGGATCGGTCCTGCACCAGCCCAGGTCGATGTTTCGGTAGGGACTCTAAGGCCTGGCCAGTGGAGGCTGAAGAAAAACATCCAGTCCAGGTGGGACGAGTTGAGACGTTTTTCCGCCCAGGATTACTTTTTCCAAACCCGACCCAGTCTAGCCGATGAAGGCTAAAACTTGGCAAAACATCCCGGGACTGAGGGACCAAACGAAGGCCGGACCGACCATGCTGGGCCAGTCCGACTGCTTTTTCCTTCGGCTCGTCTCCCTGCGTCTGGACCGGTCGAATTAAGCCGCACAGCTTTGCTGTGACGGTTCAGGATTCGCTCCCATTGAGGCCCAGAAGCATGGTCGCAATTCCTGGAAGAGCGGAAGGACCATGGTCGAGGCTAGATCGCCCAGGTCGCCCAAACAAACCGTCCGGAACGTCTAGATGTCCGTCTAGACTGTGATGATGTGCGCACTCCCACAATCAGGGGATTGAAGTAGAATGAAGTAGAGTGTCTTGTGAGAAGTTCACCTTGTCCCTTTTGCTTCTCACTTTTGCATCGTGTTGATTCTTCTTGTATGTTATCGTTTTCTGATTTGTTCAGTTCATGTTTGTTTAACATCTTCTTGCGCAGGCGTTCTTATATAGCTGTCTTAGGTGTCCTTGTGCGATCTAGTGCGCATGTATTACTTCTAGCCAGGTTTGGGGAGTGAGTGACATGTCAACATATAGCTTGGACCAGGAACTAGCATCAGGTGTCAAGATTGTCAAGTTTTTGTTTTCTCCAAACAAATAATTTCTGGTTCTGGCCCTGTAAACATGCATGTGATAGCACTTCTGCGTGTGATAGCACCTCCAGGCTACAGTTTGGGTGCACAGAACATGAAATCGAACACTTCTTCTCATTCTTCTTCCCTTTCCCAAATCCTCTTCCGTCCCCAGCTGACCCACCAACCCACCAGCTGCAAATGAGCGAAGATCTTCGAAGAGTCCCAGGCTCCAAACAACGAGGGAGGCGAGTGCGCTTCACGTGTGGAGCCGGGCGCCGGCGACCGAGCCTGGCCAGCGATGGGGGTCGAGGTGTGAACTGAAAGTGACTGAGGTGTCACGAACTGAGGAGCATTGGACAAGGGGGTGCATCGAAATATATCGACATAATCCATTGAACTGGAGGGACATGAACTCAAACCCGGAACTGGAGGTGTTTTCTTTACTAAGAAACACCCACATCTCTGCTATTGTTTGTTTCCGGTGTGAAGTTGGTTTGGAGGGTATCCTGAGTCACCACACGCCAAATCCGTGAACATCTGCTCTGTCGCAAGGAACAAACGAAGAGACTCACTTGTCCAGGCTTGTGGCCGCCCGTTGAAGCTGTTGTTCACGCAGTTCACGGCACGTGCGCCGGTTGGAAAGTCCAATCGGCAATTGGTTGCTTTCGTTTCCGTCAGGAGATGGCCTTTTATGCGCTTGCCCTTGAAATACCTGTACAGACCCGCAAATACACAAAGACCCCTTTGGCACAGGCAAAACAAGTTGAGTGTTTTGCTCGTGCCCTAGAAATGCACACCTTGAGTTCTAACCAGGACAAGGACAGCTTAAGGCATCCCAGTTGCTGCCAGGATCCTTGGCCACCGCTCTGCCTGGTGTTGAAACATTTCTTCCCGAAATGGGTGAACCATCTGTTCAAACCATGGTGTTAAAACGCCACCGCAGCCTCACTGGCAACTCCTTCCGCCCAGTCCAGAGCGTCGAACTCGGAGATGAACTATGGTCCCTCGTGGACCACAGCATGACGGAAAAAGACCACACGACCATGGACCAGTTCGCAATAGGTGTCCACCAACAGCTAGGGTCCCTTCCACTCCACGACTCCACGAATCCACGTCCACCGCGGCGCGGTGCGGTCGTGGTCGGCCTGGCCGCTTCGCGACTCGTCCGGCGAACGGCAAGGGCTTCGCGACTCGTCCGGCAAGGTGGACGGGAAACTCTCCTGAGAGGACGGAGACCACCGAAGCGAACGTGGAGACTGGTCGGTTGAAAGGAGGCGAAGTCCTGTGACGGATGGTTTTGGTCCATTTCGCTTCAAGACTGATATCGTATATAGGAATATGATATGTACAATATCTACGTCAAAGAGGATCCAACTGGGTTGATCCTCTGCTAGACATGGAACAAATACTTCAGACGGGCCTTGCTGTTGTGGCGCGGCAGCAGGGAGATCACCGTGCGTGATTCGCAAGCAACGTGAATACGTACACCCTGGAAGAGACCCACATGGAACCTGAAAACATAGGGGAGGGCTTAAGGGCCCCCCCTGTGAAAGACCCTAGGAATAATTTAAAATTATTCTGACCCCCCTTGAGTTAGTTTTCAAAAATTATTCTGGTAACTGGTTGAGTTCCAGGAATATTTTTTAGCTTTCTCTATATCTTCATATAAAAAACATATCAACACAGCGACTCACACAGCAAGAGCAATCTGACATAATCTGACTCATTCTGATGAACCGTTTTTATCATCAAATCGCCATATTGTGAAAGACTTCGACATGGCTGCAAAAGGCTGCCAATCTAAAATCTAAATCTGAACATTGGTTTTCCTATGTTTTCCTTGGTTTTGTACATGGCCAGCGATTGCTAGCTTCTTGTATTCCTTATATATCCTTATATATATATATTTGTTGTTTCTTGATGTTTCTTGTTTGAGCCTCTCACTCGCGTCCAGCTGCTGACTTCAGATCATCAAACGTCGCAACTTGAGTATTCTTGAAAATTATTCCAGGGGGGCCCTATGACTAGCCCTTTGATAAAATATTAATCCACCAAAATTATTCCAAAAAAATTATTCCGCTATCCCACAGGTCCCCTGGAATAATTAAATAAGCCATCCCCTATCTGAAAACCAATGGGTTGTAGAGGAACATCGTGTTCCAAAGGTCCATTTTCAGGTTCCATGTTAATCTTCTCAGGTGTAATTGTTGGCATGTTTTGACCATCCTTCATATGGCTTCACCAAGGCAGTGGAAAGTAAAAAAACATGAGAGAAAGAAGCTTCCTCGAAGGACACATCAGCGCTTACCGCCAAGAAGGGCAACGTGCACATCACATGTTGGTTTTAGTCCCTTGTTGGCCAAAGGCGCCCATCACCGTATATACGTTGGAGATTGGAGGTCGAGCTTCTGCCATTGGTTTTCTAGCCCTGGTGGTCTAAGACAACAGCAGCAACTGAAGTTCTGGCCCAACAGCTATTGATTGAATGAAGTCATTTCTGCAATTGAGATGGGGAGGGGCCACTACTCTGGCAAATACAGTTCTTTTGACGGACTGTTGGTGGTTCCAGGCAATAGAGACAGCTTCTTCAACAGAACAAGTGTCATTGGACCACCTTCGTCCGCAGGTGACACCACTGCGGTCTCAGGAAATATGCGAAACTGATGAAGAAAACCCGCTGAAGAAACACATCACATGGAAGGGGAAGAAGGACCTTGGGAACAAAACTATAAACTTGTTGATTTTACACGGACAAAGGTGTTGTTTCTCTTCGCTTTGCACTTCGTCACGTTGTTTTTCATCTCACACGTCCAAGGTCCTGGCCAAGACCAAAATACAGGTTGCAAGTGGCAGCCACTGTGGCAGCCCTGCGCAGAAGTTGCCCTTAACATCATATCACTGGAGGCGAAGGACCAAACAGTTCCCTCAAACAGTTCCAAATCACTCTCCCTGGAACTAATATGGTTTCGTGGATGGCACCCCTGTTTGGTATTCGGAAAATGGTCATCCGAACTCAGAGCCATGCCATCCACGTAATCATGTGTAAGTGTATTGTTTCCCATTCTGGTGCCGGGATGTTTTCTGGGGCATGCTTCGGGGTATGCATAGCGTAAGTCGAACATCCTAACTCTACATCAACTGGACACGGTGAAAAAAATACAAACCCACGTCACTTCCAGGGCCCATGACTTCGGCCCCCCTTCCACCAGGCCGGACGGCGTCTGTGTCCAGCACATCGCACCGCGGCTCCAAAGCCAGGGTTGGCAGCTCGGGACCTGCTAGTCGTCGCCGCGTCGAGCAAGCATGGTTGTGCCATGCTACAAAGCTACTCGAAATCAAAACAAATCCAGTGGATGTTCCAGGAAGGAGGTTGCAAGTAAAGCCATCAAATGTTGGTGCCCGCGCATGAAAAAAGAGTTGATTACAGTATATTTAGTACTGTATATGATGCTGTTGTATATACATATTTAGCTAAAAACAAACATATATACAGTGCCTGGGCATATGGAAGCATGATACAACTTCCATGCTAATTCTGGCGCATTGCATGGATGGCCACTGTATTGAGAGGATTGGCCAGATTCGTCCTCTACGCAGGCTTTGCCAGCGAACTCTGATGACCGGATCTAGACATTCCAAGCAGCTGCCCACTGTTCGACACGCAGCTGCATCCTGTTCTTGATGCAGCTGCAACTGCACAGCAAATCTCTTGCAACACGAGTTGCGTGGGTTTGAGTGGCTGTGTGCATTGCACTGTTCATTCTACCGAAGCATCCACTTCTTTCCGGGAACACCACCGAAGCATTCGCCCGCCTTGGCCACCTTGACCCAGGTCAAGTGTCTCCAGGGTGTAGGTCTTCAGGGTTGGCTCAATGTCCTCCACATCACATGCGTGTGCACTAAAACAGGAAGACCTCCCAGTTCGAACCTCCTGGAAGAAGGAACATAGACAAAAACAGATTGGTTGGTCAAAATGCTGAATTTTAGAGACTGTTGGAGGGTCATGTTACATAGACCGAAGGGAGTGCATGTCCATGCCTGTCCATCTCAAGAATTTCCGCACCACATATCAAACAACATGGTCGGCACTTGCCAGGTCTGTAGGTGACACCTTTTCGCTGCCCTCACAAACACTCCTTTCTTAGGATCTGTCGATCTCTGCCAGGTCAGGTTTGGAGGCCAAATCGTATCCTTTTCATTCCTTTTCGCATGGGTCTCATGGCCTCCCCAGCACCATCGACCTGGCCAACCGAGCCAGGCCCGACCGTGGGCAGTCGCCTCGTGCGGTAGCACCACAAGAGTCGGGCCTGAGGGATTCGGACGAACGCAGCGGTGATGCCGGGGGTTTTGGCCACCGAAGTGGGTGATGGTTACGGTGATGGGTCTCCGGATGTCTCCGGTGTGCGAAGTCTATGAGTCTACGAGACCCACCGGATCCAACCGGGACATGTTGTATGGAAACGGACGGAAACGGTACTTTGAGACACACTGATGAGCATAGATGTGGGCCAGCTTAGAAGGATTTCTTGGAGCTGGCCCACACCCTTCAGTTAAGTTCAGCTTGCTGTTCCGGGTTTTGGACGATGTAGAGATCTTATTGTTGATGTGTATGCCGCATGCCGTATGCCTTCAGTACTTCTGCAAACACTTGATGGAGAGGTATGGGATCGTGTGAGGCTGATGTCTCATGCTTGCTTGGAACGCTTCTTCAGCCGATGCTGAATCAACATCCATTCGCCCCAGCTGACGAGAGTCAGAAAGCTACGTCCACGTCCACGTCCGAGGCAGAAAACGGTCTCCATCGGTAGGTATAGACTGGGACTTAGGTCGATCACCTTCTACAGACCACGATTGCCCCTGACGGGAGTCCCCACCGACCCTTGTCCGACGACGTGTTGACATGGCCCATGGCTGATCCAACTGAGAGACGACTCAAGTCTATGAAAGGTGGCCGGGCTGTGGCTGTCACACTCCCTGGAAGCAACATGGAAATGGAACATAGGCCACTCAAAGACAATTGTCCTCTACAAGGGGGTCCTGGTCAGCTTCCATGATTGTTGGAGGGTAGTAACTGGTGCAGTAAGTGATGTTGACCTGGAAGGTGAGTATCCTTACAGAAAGCCTTGCAGGCAGGCTTAGATGACATGGCTGATAATGGCTTGCTGGAAGTGATGTTGACCCGGATGCAGTCTTTGTGAGTTTGAGACTGATTTCAGTATCACAGACATGAATTTCCCCAAATCCAAGTAGGAACAAACCAACACACCTGGTTGACTCGCCCACTCGCTCTCTCTTTTTTACCTGGGACCGGTCTCGCCTTCGCCCTCACTGCGGTTCTCGGACAGGGTCTCTGGCACCTTCGCTTCGGCACGAGGAGTCCGTCCCGTCCCACGTCGAGTGGAACACCCGTCGGCCCGTCGGAACGCACCCGGCCTCCGGGTCCATGCTATCCGCCATCCCCGGGCTCATGTGAGTGAGCCGGGTGGTCAACAAGAGGTTCCTACTTCGCCTTCCTGGGGTATGGTTTGGCCCTTCCTGGCTTCTCAATGGGCGATTCACTCCAGGCGATCACGGGCGACCTGGTTTTAAGCTTCACAACATCCACAAGACATGTCATCCCCCACAGTATGTAACAATCCTCCTCCTCCTCCTCCTCCTCCTCCCCCCCCCGTGCCAACATATATAATCTCAACTTCTCAAACCCTCGTGACCCTCTTGCAGTGCAAAGCGAGTCCTCCAATCTCTCAAACAGCAAAACACCATCACTCACTACCAGTACTACCCCACTATTCTCCCCTCAGAACGGCTCAAATTCTAAAGACTTTATTTGCACGCCGGACTTTGCCAAATACCTCCTCGAGGTACGTTGTTTATAGCAACAAAGACATTGGAAAAAAACACATAAAAAAGCACCACACATATTGGAATGGTCTCTTCATGGTCTGCAAGACAAACCCATCTCTGTAAAAACACACACCGCACCGCACCGCACAGTCGACCTTGGGACCCACCGCACCGGCGCTTTCTCCGCTCCGCCTCATCCATCTGCGTCGTGGCCTCGCTCTGCTGCGTCGGAGCCTGGCCGTGGGATCGAAACACGACCAGCGGGAGGGGGTCATCTATAGTATCTATAGGATTCGATTCGACATGGCAATGGTATGGCCGACAGGGGTCCAGCAAAAACGATGGAGTTCACAAATTGTTTGACCATTGGCAACAGCATGCACTACCGTACCTGTGAATCTAGGGGGTTAATCTATCTAAGTCTCTTAGACGGGAGTGAGTGAGTCGAAGATAGGAAGAGCATCCTTGAAAGAGCATCCTATGCTCGATCCTATGCAACCGGGTAGTTGTGTCTCCCACACGTGGCCATTCAGCAGTGCACTGCACTCGATCCTCGACCGTCTCCACTTGAGTTGCTTCTAGCTCCTGGGAGTCGACGCGAGGCCGGAGAAAAACAACGCCTTTGTTGTTTGGTTTCGCGGCATCATCACCACTAGGGACGTCCGAGGGTTTTGACGCTGGACCTGGATCTTCCAACTATACAACATGTCCGCCTTTTGGTTAGCTGTATAGATGAAAAGGCAATATTTTGCACAATTTTGGAAGTATATAAATGAGATTGTACGAGTATACACAAAACCGTCCAGCTTCAAGAATGTCCCAGTGCGCTATGGCCTTATCAAAGCCCTTCATCAAGAGGCAGTGCCGGTCTGTTCCAGAGTGACACTCTCGGCAAATGGCCAGTAGAACAACAAAGTACTGAATGCAATCTCAGGTTCTTCTTCAAGCTCTTTCTGAGCTTCATTTCGCACCTCCACCTCAGCCTGGCCGATCTCCCGGCCGAACGCACCCGCCAAGCATCGAAGATGGCGCGCCGACGTGGGGTGCGGTCCAAACCAACACCGACGCTGGTGATCCGCCAAGCAACCGATCAAAGCCGAAACCGTTTCGCTGGGTCTCTTCCTTGAATCATGTCGCCTTGCTGCAAGGCGATTCTTACCCTTGTTCTGTGAATATGAACGTGTGTGCGACCCTGGGAGAGTTTTTAGGTATTTTATCTATCAACTAATTGGGTTGATTGTTGAGAGAAGACACCGAAACATAGGGGGAGTGGCCCAGTATTCAAAGGAGCTCCTGTTTCCCAAGGAGCCTGTTCTGAACTTGATAGCTTGTTTCTCATTTTTTGAACACAATCCGAAGGGAACAACATCGATTTCTCATTCTGCGACACATTCGATGAGCATTCGAGCTTTTCATTGTATGAATCCCGAGTGTTCATAGGATTGAACTTATTGATTGAACATCGCCAAACACTCTTAAACGATTGGAATTCTGGCCTTATGGTTCATAGACCAAATGTATGCGCAAGGGCACCTTCCTGTTGGCACTTACATTGGCTAGTGAGACCAGTACTCAAGCTCATTCTAGCGAGGGTCCCCGTGGCAGTTCTCGTGGCCATGTGGCCAGTCCATGAACAAAAAAGCCCTTTCTCGCAGCGTCGCACCTGGTGGCCAGTTTCGGATGGCATCTCTTCATCTGCCTGGCAAAAGTGTTTCTACACTCACGAAGCCGGTGTTCAAGATCCTTCTGGTGGATCCAGCCGCTACTGCCGCATGAACATTGATTAGATTAAACCTACCCGGCCCCTTCTATCTGAGAAGCGTGCCATCTAGGCCCTAGGCCGGGATTGTCTTCAGGTTCTTTGCGCTCATGGACACCAAGGAGAGGCCATATCAAGCAGATTCAAAGGGATCTCTTTCTGATTCTTCAAGAAGGCTGAAGGATCCCGAAGGACCTTAAAAGGATTTCAAACGGTTTCTTCTCATAGGCCATCCAGGACATCTGAGATCCCTTTCGCCGGCCCTCGCCATCGGATCCACACGATCGGGCGGATCGGCACCACGACCCACCGGTTCCGAACCAATTCTGGCGGCTGAAAACCAAGACCATCGATTTGACCCAAAACCAAAACCTTTGGTGGGAAACACATGGCGCCAATCAGGATCATGATTGAAAGCCCTTCATGCTAGGTTTCCCGGAAGAATGGAATCCCCAAGCCCTCGGTATGAGTCTGTGGAGGCGCCCATTGTAAGAAATACATCAATTCACGGGCTCGGAGCACCCCCCCACACCATGTGGGATCAACGTTGGAAAGGGCCATCGGCCAGTACGGTACCAGTTTTAGACAGTTTCTCTACGTCTCTACGTTGTCCTACACTTCAATGAAGACCAAGTCATCATCGTTGTCTACTTCGCAATATCCATGCTACGACTGAGCTTTTCTACATTCTGTCTGCCGGTGCATTTCAATGGAAGTTCTGACGTATATGAGGGATTGTTTTTTTACATGACAATATACATCAGGCTATAATAGACTATAATTATCCCTCAAAAAAAAGTCTAAGTTCTGACCATATCAGGCTATAGTAGACTTGGTCGCCAAACCCCAACATCTCAAGTAGACGACTCCCTCGAGGCCCACCAGGCGGCCCACCAGGTCTTTGCCTCGTAGACCAGCGTGGGGACATCCACATCCGCCTGGCAGCTGACATAGCCCTCAAAGGACAAACACATCTTGTACACCCTTGCGTTGTCGGATTCCTTCCTTCAGCAGGAAGTACTGGTTAAGTGAAATCTCCGCATCAAATCCCGTTCTACTGATTCAGAACATTGGGTCCATGGAGTTTCAATTTCCCCTGCTTGGTGGGACTTCGCCGGTCGACGTCTGATTCGGTAACCAAACGGTCTGATTCGGTAACTATGATTCGATAACTAAAAGCGCTGATTCGATAACTAAAAGCGCTGATT